CAGTCATTAAATCGTCTATAAAATAGTTAGTTTATTGTACATATTTAAACTTGGGTTGGAAACAAACACTAAATTATACATAAATTAAATAGAATGGAGCACAAAAGAAATTTTTCTATTACAATTTGAAGAACAAAATACTCTACTAATCATGGAAATAATACCAGGCAAAATTAAAAAAAGAACAAATATACATATTACCTACATCAAACCAAGCGACGACAATTTCCGATATTTGTTGAAAAAACGATACACATGTTTTACTTTAAAAAATGTAGTCTCATATATTTTAGCCAAAAGTATTACAATGTTTGTAGCAAATGACGATGACAACAATTCAGCTTCACCTTTTGGGGTCAATGAGCAAATATGGCAAAAAGCGTAAAAAGAAACGTCTAAAGCTGCAGCAGCATAGAATAAACAAAAAAAAACACAGTTTTGGAAACAGAACTGCAAAAATACTGAACTAAAGACATATACTTTGAGACATACGAGAGCACTGATACCTAGACACAAAGACAGACAGACAAGCCCCACCAACAAACTAACAAACACATGAAGAATTATCGGTATGAGGAGTGTTCTAATGCTAAACGAGTGCAATACTTAGATATTTGTATATCTGTTATATATTATTACAGACAAACAGACTGAATGACTGACTGACTGGCAGTCAGACAGATAGAAATATAATATACATACACGAGCGACGTTTGCTTTCAGTCGTTGCAAATGCAAAAAAAATGTAATAAAAATATCTAGAATATAAAATAGCAACAAGAATTGTATATCCAACAAAAACATCAACTAAAGAAAATTACATACAGTTTTGAAATGTATAGAAAGAATGAATATTTTATCAAAAAGATTTGATAACTCAGTAGGGGAAAAAACACTGTTAGAAAACCAACAACTTGAATGAGAACATGTGTTGCCAAATTTTGGCTCCCCTGCTAATGACGCTGTGATGTTAAATAATCCCCATAATCTAAGTACATGACAAAATATTATAAATCGATTAGTTTTTAAAAGTAAATCAATATTTAAATTAATTTCAGTATTTGAACAATTGGCAACTTTGAACAATTGGCAACTTAAGACAAAACTTCAATATATCGAAATTTTAAAATTCTTTAAAAGCTAAACATTTCTCTAATCCCTTTTAATTCCCACACATTTTTCTTAATTACTAAACTAAATCTCAAAAAGTGTTAACTCTAATTTCATTATACACCTGTAAATGTCAAATTTTACATCCTTCTACCCACGTTTTATAGTCATTTTATCTTTCACAAATCTAATTTCTTCAGATTTTACAAAATTTTAATTTTATCTCACAGTTTTACACCCTATCAATCGTTAATCTATGTAAATTTGTTAAAACCAAATGGGGAAAATTCATAAATTCAAAACAAATCAAGTTAAATTATTTAAAAATCACTACACTCTAATGACATGATAATTATTAAATAACAATTTGATTTGAATTGATGTTTTTTGTGTGTTGGCGTCATGTTATTAGTCGTTGTTATATTTTTACGTATAATTTAAACATTCCAAAATCAGCAGAAGAAAAAAGTAATAAAAAAATCATATAAAATTCAAATGTCACTTAATAAACAACACTAACAACAATAAAAGCAGCGATACGAATGGAGTGTGTGTGATAACACCCAAACACTTTTAAGAATTGATTGAAGTATTGTCAGTCGTACGACAGTAGACTAAAAAATTTTTCCGAATGCTGAGAAAAGATTAGAATGCTGAGAAATGTTTATGAGAAGACGAAGTCTTTAACTAACTAGAACTGAAATAGAACTGAACTAATACTGAACTAAAACTGAGCTAAAACTGAACTAGAACTGAACTACAGCTGAACTACAACTGAACTACAACTGAACTAGAACTGAACTAGAACTGAACTAGAACTGAACTAGAACTGAACTAGAACTGAACTAGAACTGAACTAGAACTGAACTAGAACTGAACTAGAACTGAACTAGAACTGAACTAGAACTGAACTAGAACTGAACTAGAACTGAACTAGAACTGAACTAGAACTGAACTAGAACTGAACTAGAACTGAACTAGAACTGAACTAGAACTGAACTAGATCTGAACTAGAACTGAACTAGAATTGAACTAGAATTGAACTAGAACTGAACTAGAACTGAACTAGAACTGAACTAGAACTGAACTAGAACTGAACTAGAACTGAACTAGAACTGAACTAGAACTGAACTAGAACTGAACTAGAACTGAACTAGAACTGACTAGAACTGAACTAGAACTGAACTAGAACTGAACTAGAACTGAACTAGAACTGAACTAGAACTGAACTAGAACGAACTAGAACTGAACTAGAACTGAACTGAACTGAACTAGACTGAACTAGAACTGAACTAGAACTGAACTAGAACTGACGAGACTGAACTAGAACTGAACCAGAACTGAACCTAGAACTGAACTAGAACTGAACTAGAACTGAACCAGAACTGAACCAGAACGACTAGAACTGAACTAGAACTGAACTAGAACTGAACTAGAACTGAACTAGAACTGAACTACTAGAACTGACTAGAACTGAAAGAAACTGACTAGACTGAACTAGAACTGAACTAGAACTGAACTAGAATCTGAACTATAACTGAACTACAGAAACTGAACTAGAACTGAACTAGAACGAACTAGAACTGAACAGAACTGACTAGAACTGAACTAGAACTGAACTAGAACTGAACTAGAACTGAACTAGAACTGAACTAGAACTGAACTAGAACTGAACTAGACTGAACTAGAACTGAAACTAGAACCTGAACTAGAACTGAACTAGAACTGAACTAGAACTGAACTAACTGACTAGAACTGAACTAGATCTGAACTAGAACTGAACTAGAACTGAACTAGAACTGAACTAGAACTGAACTAGAAACTGAACTAGATCTGAACTAGAACTAAACTAGAATTGAACTAGAAATTGACTAGAACTGAACTAGAACTGAACTAGAACTACTTGAACTGAACTAGAACTGAACTAGAACTGAACTAGAACTGAACTAGAACTGAACTAGAACTGAACTAGAACTGAACTAGAACTGAACTAGAACTGAACTAGAACTGAACTAGAACTGAACTAGAACTGAACTAGAACTGAACTAGAACTGAACTAGAACTAGAACTGAACTAGAACTGAACACTAGAACTGAACTAGAACTGAACCTAGAACTGAACTGAATGGACTAGAACTGAACTAGAACTGAACTAGAACTGAACTAGAACCTGAACTAGATCTGAAATCTAGAATTGAACTAGAATTGAACTAGAATTGAATAGACTGAACTAGAACTGAACTAGAATCTGAACTAGAAATGAACTGAATAGAACTGAACTTAGAACTGAACTAGAACTGAACTAGAAATTAACTAGAACTGAACTAGAACTGAACTAGGAACGAACTAACTGAACTAGAACTGAACTAGAACTGAACTCGAACTGAACTAGAACTGAACTAGAATGAACTAGAACTGAACTAGAAACTGAACTAGGAACTAGACGACTAGAACTGAACTAGAACTGAACTAGAAACTAGAACTTAAGAGACTGAACTAGAACTGAACTAGAACTGAACTAGAATGAACTAGAACTGAACTAGAACTGAACTAGAACTGAACTAGAACTGAACTAGAACTGAACTAGAACCTGAACAGTAGAACTGAACTAGAACTGAACTAGAACTGAACTAGAACTGAACTAGAACTGAACTAGAACTGAACTAGAACTGACTAGAACTAGAACTGAACTAGAACTGAACTAGAACTGAACTAGAACTGAACTAGAACTGAACTAGAACTGAACTAGAACTGAACTAGAACTGAACTAGAACTGAACTAGAACTGAAATAGAACTGAACTAGAACTGAACTAGAACAGAACTAGAACTGAACTAAAACTGAACTACAGCTAAAAAAAAAACTAAATTAGAATTTAACTAAAGCTATTTTATTTTTTATTTTGTTTCAAATACAACCCTCGTATCTTTTACATATTATAATAACTAAGGCTTGTTTCGACAACACGAGCTCAACGTGAAAAGTTCAATAGGGGTCTAATGTCTGCATGTGTGTATTTGAATATTTTCCATTTAAACATTTTTGCTAATACCACTGCCAATGAGACATGCTCCTTCAATCAACAATTAACGCTTAAGAAATGTATAAAACAACAACAATATTGTAATAAAAAATTTAATAAAAACCACAAAAAGACAAGAAAAAGCTCAAAACAGATGTGAAAATTTGAACCCACCGACTAAAACGTATGTATACAAGACGACAATGAAGACGATGCTGTGATATGTTGGACTATTTTGCTCGTATACACGAAATATACACATTCATTTGTTTTTTTTTTTTCTTATTTCTTCATCAATTTAATGTCATTTTTTGTTCTCTTTTAGCTTCTTCTAAGTTGTTTGTAATTGATGAAGTCTCACACTGTCTGTCAGACATATTGAGATCAGACAGTAGTTGAATGTCGATGTCGTTTCAAACAAAAACCAAAAGTCTGTCATCAAACTACTATGGAACCTTGTCTTTGACGTTCTTCTTATACGATTTATATATAAGTAGTTATGAATGTGTGTCTTTTTGACAAGTCACCAGCCATATAAGGTGCCGTTAATACATTTAACTCAATTAAGTCGTAAATATCTGTTGTTGATCATAAAAAATCGATTTAATTATTATTAAATCTTTCTTGTTTGTTGATCATTCTTAAAAAGATGTACATAGTTTTTCTTGTTTCTTTTTACAATTCTTTTATGTATGTGGTTAATTTGTTTAAATATTTTTCTGTAAATAAGATGACTAGAACTGAACAAGATCTAGAACTGAAATGGAACTGAACTAGAACTAAACCTGAACTGTACTACTTTTACTTTATTTAATTAATTTAGCATAATCAGAATAATATTAAAATGAAAATCAAAATTATCAAACTCACCTTTCTTTTCAAATAGTTAATCTCATGTTGAGCCTTTAGTTGTTCCTTAATCTCCACCTCCTTCAATTCATCCAATATCTTTTGATATTTCTCACGATTCTCCACATCCAAGGCGACATGTAAATAATCATGCCAATTACGCGAATCAAACCCCCAATGACAAGTACGATTCTCAACTTTACGATGAACATGACCCACAAATTTCTGTGGCGAAAACCAACCCTTACACTCGAGACACATAATGCAAGTGGGTTTCTGATACGAATACATATCGGGAGTACAAATACCCTCACATTTGCCAAAACAACGATGATAGACCTTAAAGGAAATGGCGCCTTTAGGTATGTCTTCAACATTAATATAACTATTGCGATCAGAACGATGCAAAAGTATGGCGCAAAGACGTTCGGCATCGGTGCGTGTTATTAAACCGCTCGATTTGACGTCGGATGGTAAAATTTTAGCAGCCTTAAATTCCATTAACTGATCTGGGGTGCACTGGGAGCAGAAAATGCCCAAATCATCAAAACTACGATTAATTTGCTCCAATGAGAATTCTGCCAAAACATTATTGAGAAACTGGGGTAAACACAAACGCATCTCACCGCCCAGAGAAAAACAACCAATGGTTTTACCCTCCAAACGAGTTTCATACAATTCCCCCGAACCCGAGTCAGCAGCCGAAAGTATAGGCTGTGATACCTCAGGCGGTGGAGGAGGCATTATTTTGACAGATGGTGGCGCTAATAGATTAGGCGCTGTTTGTAAGGGATTTTCATTTGGGAGATCATGTGCATTGGTTAGAGCAGGTTCTGGTGAGGACATTATTTCTTTTTTTATAAGAGGCAAGGCAGGATTAAGATTTGTGGCGACTGCTGCTGCGGCGGCAGCATTCGTTGCTGCGACATTTGAAGCGACTGATGAGGAAGCTGTTCCTTGAGGTGTGGAGTTATTATTAATGTTGTTGTTAGTGATGGTGGTGGGGCAGTGGCCAGCCGTTTTGATAAGTTCACACGGACTATTACGCATTGTAACCAAGCCGTGTATATCCGCAACCAAAGATGTCGGGCCATTATTAAGGCTGACATCTAAGGGACAAGGACAATTTATGTTTGTTTGTTGTTGTTGTTGTTGTTGTGCTGATTGTTGCTGCTGCTGCTGTGTCTGTAAATTCACTATGTTGGCATTCGATGTAGAAGAGGATGACGAAGAGGATGAGGTTGTCTGTAAGGAGTGACCTGGGCCTTGTAAAGATTTTGGAGCACTTGTTTGATACTTTTTTAACACTGTGTGTATATTGGGAGTAACGTATTCGGTCATGTTGACTTTGCCAAACAATTTGGGGAATGGTGTTTTCTTGGTGGTTGTTGTTGTGATGTTATTTTCAGTTAGTTTTTAGTTTTCTTTTATAGTTTAAGTCAATTTCTGAGGAAATTGTAAAAATTTTTCTTGAATTAATTTCATTTTTTTAAATTTTTTTTATTTTTTGTGAAAATATTTTTCTATTACTTGCTTTTTTGTATTTAAAATTTTTGGGCTATTTTTATTTCCACTTTTTTTCGTTTTATTTGCTTATTTGTTTTAATAATTTGGCACGTTTTGTTAAAATTTTGTTAATTTTTTCAAATTGCATTTAATATTTGATGCCGTCGGCATTATTTTTTTCTTAAATTTTCTGCTTTTTATGTGTTTTGCACCTTTTACTTTTTGTAGAATTTCTTCTTTTTTTTTCTTTCTTTCACTTTATTTTTAGATTTTCAGCACCAAAATAAGCAAATTTTCGTAAAATTTTCTTTTAATTTATTTTTTCGTGCTTTTGTTTTTTTTTACAATTTGTGACAATTTCTTTTTATTTTGTTTAATTTTTGTCTTTTTTTGTTTTTTTGCTTTTAAAGCAATAATTCTATTTCTTTTTCATATTCCTTTTTAATTTGAGGTGACAATTTTTTCTTATAATTTTATTGGCGATTTTTCTTTTAACACTATATTATTTTTTCGTTGGAAAAAACACTTTAAGATAAGATAATCATCACATTCTCACTCACTTGCTTACTCTCCACCAATTTTTTAAGGGGATAAGCAGCAACAACAAAAAAGCCGACGGCCAGTTATAAAAAAAGCTTTTGACGTTTTTATTTTCCCAAAATACAGGGTTTGTTGTTATTGTTATAAATGATTGTTGTTATTGTTGCGGATGTTAGAGATGAGATGAGAATTTGCCTTACAAGAACAAGAAGAATTCCAATTAGTATTTTGTTTTTGTTTTTGTTGTATTTTTTTAATAATGAAAATGAGAATTGCTGCTTCTTAAATATTTTATATTTGTCATTTATACATGTTTATTATTTTTTTATTGTTTTGTTTTGTTGTTTTTAATAATAACAGTGAGTTTTTTGTTTCTATCTAACAGATCTCACTTTTATTTTGGTGTTTTCTTTTTCGATTTCAAACGCAAAATGCTGCTCTCACATAAATTTTAGCTTAATGAAAAAAAGAGAGTTATCATATTGTGGCGTATTTTCATTATTGTTGTATTATGGCGCGTGTTTTGCTCCACCAGTAGGGTGTTTGTTGTTTAATAATTTATTATAAAATTTACATGTTTTAGTTAACAACATTTAACTTTTTAACAAAAGAGACTTGTAATAATAGAGGATACTTTTTTAGTTAAAACTTTTTTTGCACGTTTATTTAACAAACAACAACAAAAACTGGCAATGTTTTTTTTTGTCACCCATTCATGCCTTAAAATTTAAGAGTTAATCACTCTCTAACCCCAAAATATACAAAAAAAAAATACCTAATAAAACGTAAAAAACAAACCAAAGCTAGAAACAAAAATAAATTTAAGAAAATCCCAACGCAAAGAATTTATTTAGGCAAACATACTCTCAAATTCTTTCTAATTTTAAATCTTTCGAACATTTTTGTGGCTGCTATTTTAAAATTTTAAGATTTTCTTTGTGAAGTTTTGCATTCAACCATTCTTCTTCTTCTTTTCCTCAAAACATTTAATAGATTTTTTTAAACACTTTATTTCACTACAAGTTTTTGTTGCTGTTGTTGTTAAGCGTACATTTTTTGTTATATTTATTTCCTCTTTCTCTCTCTCTTTTGCCCATTTTTTTTTTCTTTTATTCCTTCAATATTTTTCAATTTTTGCGTTCGCTACACTGTAAAAACACTTGAAATTTTTCCTACACTTTATAACTACATTTTTCTTTAGGTACGCTTTTAACTTTTGTTAAAATTTGTATTTTTTCTATATAAATTTTCTTTTAAAAACACTAAACTTTTTTCTTTTCATATTTACTTCTTTAACGTCCAAAAATCGTCGCCGTTTTCTTGTCGTTTTATTGCTGTTTTATTTTAAATTTATTTTTCTTTCATTACTTTTGTATTTTATTTTTTTCCTCTTTAATATTTTTATCGTCAAGCTTCTTTAATTCATACACAAACAACACTCATGTAGACAATACAATATACAATAATAATAAAAAACAACTACTATATATTTTTCAGATACACACGCGCTGCGCTTCCGCACGTTGCTTTTATGTCGACGGCATACGTTCGATTAAAATTTTGCGAATGTTAAATTTTGCCACTTGCTCAATATATTTCTCTTCAATAAAAAATTTTATTAAAAAATTCTTAATTCTCTCGCTCTCATTTCGGTACGAAAGCTTATGGGGGAAAATAAAAATCAAAACAAAAAAGTAAAATAAAACGAATGTCATTAAAGTATAATGTAAAAGAATAAGCTTTTATACAGTGCTGCCATACTAGAGGTGTTTTTTGGAAAACTGACAATAATATTTTTTTTTTTAAATTTAAGATTTTGTTAACAATACTCTAAATTTATGTTATCAAATCCTTGTCCAAACTTTTAACTGGAAGTTAGCATTGACCAAATGTCTTAACATTGAAAACTTGGACAATATTTTTGCAATGATTGATTGATAGTTAAACAAACCAAAACAATTATTTTCGTGAAAGTTATCAAGATAAAAAATTGGCATGTATAGTCGGACTTTAGCAGTATGACATCGTCATGACAAAGTTTTCAGAAAAATTGCTTAGCCTATGTCTAGATATGATAAATGTTTATGATGCTAAGCCCCTGTCTAGATGCGATAAATTTTTATTATGATAAACGTCAGATAAAAAAATTAGCTAGTACAGACAGCATTTATTAGCGTTATAGCATCGTTATGATAAAATTGTTAGAACAATTGTTTAGACAATATTGTCTTAATATTGTCATTTTGTTGTAGAATCTGTAAAAAATTTTGTTTTTGTACAATTAAAATTGTACCGGTGATTTATGATGATAAAAGCAGCATTTTGTTTCTCCTATACATTAACATAAATAAAAAATGAACGCTTGTTCTGCCGATGTTTTATCAAGTGCCGAGATAAAAATTTGTATTGATAACAATCGTAATTTTATTGTAAAATACGATTTTTTAAATAAATTAATTTTATAATGCGCTAATTACCTCAATTATTTAATTAAAATCTTAATTAATTATTTTTTCTTGCCGGCTTTATATATATTTTAAGTGACAGCAAAAATTTATAAACAGCAGACGACGTCATGAAATTTTGTTCGACACCGAACTCTCCCATATGTTAAATAAAACAACAACAAAACATCTTCCATTTTTATTGCTGTTTCGGCGGCAAACCATTTTTCTTTTGTTGTCTTTTTTTTGTATTAAAAAATACATACTGGCGGTAGCTAAATTTTCACATTTCTTCACATCAGGGTGGGCTACTTATTAGATAAATTCAGGGAAAACTATCCATAGACAATTTAAAAACCAACGAAACATGGATTTAAATGATGCCGTATTAACCTGTGCCATTAATCTGCAATGGACAAATGCCGTCGGTGTTGTGGGACGCAAATTGGCCTATAAAGTGGCCACGTTAAGACTGATTAGAAATGATATACGGGAACTGTTCATAGAGCTGTCGGCGGAAAAGATTAAGCCAATGAAATTTAAAATGAAAGACATTATGGTGCATAAGAAATTCATGTCCGAGGGCAAGGCTTCCATCAATTTTAAGGCGGAAAATTGTGCTATGTACTTGTCAAATGCACCTCCAGGAACATTAATGTTTTTCCTGCGGACGGTGTTCATTAAAATGAATGGTGGCGAAAAGCAGGATGAGGCTACGACACAAAAGCAATTAAGAGCTCACATGTTGTCGGGAAATCCTAGTAAATTTGAAGAAGTATCACCGGTAACCACGGCTGAAATGGTCATGGCACGTAAACGTGCTGGTCTCATACCATCAAGAGGCACAGCTACCACACCTTCACCATTGGCAGCCAAGAAGCGTCGTTATGATGAGATAAAAGGTGGCAGTGATAAGAGTGGTCTGCCGGCTCCCAAAAAGCTGTACCAAGAATCCCCTATGGTTACTGAGGAATCGGTCAAACTGTGTCAAGAGCAAATGGAAGTGTTAAAAGCTTGTGTTTCGGGGAAAAATGTATTTTTTACAGGTTCCGCTGGTACGGGTAAAAGTTTTCTGTTGAGGAAAATTATTTCTGCTCTGCCACCAGATGGTACCGTGGCCACCGCCTCCACTGGTGTGGCTGCTTGTTTGATAGGTAAGTTGTTTGGGAATTCAATAACAAAAATTGAAGTTTTTATATAACTTTTCCAAAAGGTGGTGTGACATTGCATGCCTTTGCCGGCATAGGCGGTGGGGATGCTACCTTACAACGCTGCTATGAACTGGCTTCAAGACCAGCCAATGCTCAGGCTTGGCGTAAATGTAAACGTTTGATTATTGACGAAATCTCCATGGTGGATGGTCAATATTTTGATGTAAGTATTAGTTTATTACATAAGACCCTGAGACTTATTGCTAATCTTTCCCTTAGAAAATTGAAGCCGTAGCCCGTCATATACGACGCAATGACCGTCCCTTTGGTGGTATACAACTGGTACTTTGTGGTGATTTCCTGCAGCTGCCGCCTGTTATTAAACGTGAAGAAAATCTCTCTGGTGGTGGTTCCCAAACACCACCCCAACGTTTCTGTTTCCAATCGAGTGCCTGGGAAAAATGTGTGGAGTATGTGTATGAACTTAAAGAGGTGCATCGTCAATCAGATCCTGAATTTATTAAAATTCTTAATCATTTACGTATTGGTCATTGCAACGAAGAAATAGCCAAACGTTTAGTGGCCACTTCCAAGCAAACAATAGAGGGTAATGGTATTTTAGCCACACAGCTGTGTTCGCACACCAACGATGCCAACTCCATTAACGAATCAAAATTGGAAAATTTACCCGGTGACAAAGTTCTATTTCGAGCAGAAGATTCTGATGCTTTAATGACCAAACAATTAGATTCTCAAGTACAGGCTCCTTCCCAACTGTATTTGAAAATTAATGCTCAAGTAATGTTGTTGAAAAACATAAACATTTCGGCGGGTTTGGTCAATGGAGCGCGGGGAGTGGTGGTGCGCATTGACAAAGGTGTGCCCGTGGTGAAATTTAAAAATAATACCGAATACGCCTGCAAACATGAAAAATGGATTATAAAAACCCCCAGCGGAGGAGCTGTGACACGACGCCAGGTACCTCTCAAGTTGGCCTGGGCCTTTTCCATACACAAATCACAAGGCTTAACCCTAGATTGTGTTGAAATGTCTTTGTCTAAAGTCTTTGAAGCTGGCCAGGCATATGTCGCCTTGTCGCGAGCTAAATCATTGGATTCTGTACGAATATTAGATTTTGATGCCAAACAAGTATGGGCCAATGCTCAAGTTTTACAGTATTATAAGTTGTTTAGACGTCGTCTGCTAGACACTACCATGATTCCCTTAGGTACTAAAAATAAAGAAGAACGTAAGAAGGATGGCACGGCCAAAGTCTCTAGTGCTTTGGCCAAACTTAAAAAGAGTCTCATTAACAAGCCACTAGTTTCTATAAGTTAAATTTAAGATTTACTAGACTCATCTCATGTAGAACAATTTCATGCCTAACTATTATTAATAAGTTAAATATTTATTATGCTTAATTTGTGTGTAAAATTAAGTTTTAAACAAAAGAACAATTTAAAGAAATTTACTTATTCTCTGATTGAAGTTTCAGCTATTCTTTTACAACTTTAAGATATGATTTATGTGTTCATTTTTTTCGTCTTAACTTTTCTATGACTATTTTTTAAGAATTCATTTTTTTTTTTCAGTTTCATTATCAAGTTACTAATTTTCTTTTGCCTTTCTAGTTTTATAACTTAGCAATTTTATCTTTAAGACTGTTCTAAAGAAGCATTTATACTAAAATGTAATTTTTGATTGTATTTTTAATTTTTTTTCTAATAAAAATTGTATTTTTACAAAAAATAAAAAAAAAAAAATAAAGTTTTCATTTGATTATTATCCTAAGCTTTAAAAGCCAATTACTCAATTTGAGTTCAAAACTTAATAACTCACCTGTAAATTCTTGAAAATATAAACAAATTTATGTGTTGTTTCTAGATAACGAGCGAGTAGTTTGAGCACAAATTTTACTTGTATTTTGTTATTGTAACAAAAACAAAATACAAGTAAAATTTTAACTCAAACTACTCACACGTTATCTAGAAACAACACATTAATTTATCGCTTCAAATGGCTATTAATTTTTAAATACTTGCACTTGATTATTTTTATGCTTTTAACTTAATTTTAATACAAATCCTTTAAATTCTCCAATATTATTTGCTGGTTTTGCTAATGCTTTTTAAATATTCACAGTTGTTGGTTTTTATTACATTTTTTATAATGATTTGTTTTCATTATACTAATAACATTGTGTTTATAGTTATTTTTTGTTTGGATTTACTTGAACATTTTACGTTTAGCAGTATCTGGTTGTTAACAAAGCTGATCGATGGAAAGATTTTTAAACAGAAATAAAAATTTAACTAAAATTTTGGCAAACGGACATAGTCCACCAAAAATCTTAACACCATACACCTCTAAGCAAGCTTTTTTAATAGGCTCACTCATTCTTCAGATGCAGCAGAGGCGGCATTTTTGTTATTACTACCAACGGGACCATGACGACGTTCCCAAATAAGACGATGCTTTTGTTTCATATAGGCAGCCTTGGCATTAGTGTAACCACCCAAATCACCATCTAGAAAAGAAGAGAAAACAATTAGTTATAGTAATTCCAAAAAACCTTAAGCAACTCACATTTAATAAACCAGTTTTCGGCAGCCTTTTCGTATTGTTCCAAAATGGGTTTACATTTCTCTACATGATCGGGAGCTTCGTACATGGTACAATCCTCAAAACGTTGACGCAAAATGGTAACAATTTCATTGTCTACCATACGATCACGACGGAATTGTTGATCGGCTTCAAAACGACAGACTACATCATCTGTATAGCATTGATCAATGGTGGGTACACGGCGAAATTGTTGATGATACCAGGCGTATTTCTTTTGGTTGGGTTCCACAATGGATTCTGTATAAAAAGAAAAGAAACATTAATTTCCAATTGAATATAAACAAAATATAAACAACAACAAATTTCCTTAAAACAATTTGACAGTTGGAACATTGAGGTTATGTCATTATGTAATGGAATGCCAGGAATTGTGCAAAATTTTAAGGAATTTGTAAAATTAAGTTAATAATTTTTATCTGAAGTGCTTAATTATATTAACTAGTTGTCATTTAATTACCTCTAAACCATGTTACTGGTCCATCAACCATATTATGCAAACTTTCAACAAAGGCTGCCAAGGGACTGCGAGCCTCGGGCATTTTCTCGTTTTATTATACTGTTTAAATTAAATTTGTTTATAAATTTAAAGAATATTTTAATGAATTCTTTAGTTTGTTTATTTTTTTTACTTACTATTCTTTATAAAAGAAGAAAAACTTTGAAAAATTACAGAAAATTTTAGTTTATTTTCTGTCTGTCGGTTTTTTTGTGGCAGCCCGAAAAACTAGATGTTTTTTTTTTGCTGGCTGTCAGTTTGGCTATCAGCTGCTGTCAGAGCTGCTGAATAAACAAACAGAGTTGTATTTTTGATGGTAAGGTTGGTGTCTGTGATAAATGTGAAGTAGTTTATAGCAAAACAGGTTAGTATTTTAAACGTTACATTAGAACATTTTTTATAGAATATTTTTAATAAAAAAAACAGGAATTTTTAAAAAATAAAGAAATTTTAATTAAAAAATGCGAGTTAATGCATTTCCGGGAAAGATTCTAAATGATAATAATGTTTTTAAACAGCGATATGTTAAAAATTAACATTTTAAATTAATTCTATAACAATTTTTTTAAAAAGCTAAATATTTTAAACTTTCATATACATTTTTAAAAATATACATACATATTAAGTTAAAAATTATCCCACGATTTTACATTTCCTGTTTATCAATAATATTTCATTATTTATCCCCACTATTACGTTGACAATTCTTTTATATTTATTTGTTTACAATAATATTGTTAAATGTCTTATGCACGTAATACACATACTGTTTACGTTAAAGGAAAAATACACGCAATTATGCGATTTAGTTAATATTTTTAGAATGAAAAGAAAATTTTATAAAACTAAAAGCGTGGCGCTCATTTAAAAGAAAAACAAAATAGAATGACGCGTTTTTTTTTTCACGTAAATATTTTCACTGCCAATTGGGACAAGTTCAATGCGGGGCAGAAATGTTGAATGGCGCGTTTTCTTTGGCCTCCACCATCATTAGATGTGTGATAGAGGGTGGAATTATAAGTAGAATTTGGCTTGATAGGTTTGTTAAAGTTTTGTTTATATTTTTATCATAATTTTTCAAAATTTTCAAAAAATTAATTATAAAAATTTAATTTTTAAGTTTTCACTTAAAAGTCCAAATTGAAGTCATTACCTACTCTCTTTGATTAGTTAGAAAAAGTAGTATGGTAACATTTTTACTATAAAATTTCTGGTAGCACGTAAGAAAACTTCCTCTTCTTTAACATAACTATGCACAGTAGAATGATAACAAACAAAATAATAACGGTTTATATGGGTTAGTTTTTAAATAACAAAATATTTAGATTCTTAGAAAAACTGATAAATTTATAAATATTTTATAAATTTTTTAATACAATTTGTAGCTCACTTTTTAGTCGTCTATAAGTACAAACAATTTCTTAATTATATTATAGTATATTTTGTTTAGTTAAATGATTTATGTGTGAAACAAATTGTAAACATTTTTCTTTCTTTACATTTACTAAGTTCTTTCAAAATCAAACACGTGTTCTACGTAGAAAAACAATGTTAAAGAATGTTTTTCTTTTATTATTATTTATTTAGTTTTTAATTTAATGCAATAAGCAATTATGTAAATAATTGTTTAGTGAGAGAAAATTATATTTTTTATTAATTATCTACAATTGGATTTATTTTTTCTTTATTAGAAAGATTTTCTTAATAAAATAATTGTAAAAATTTAATTTACTTAAACAGGTTATTAATTTTTTAGTTAAATAAGCAAGCATTAAAATATGCTAATTTATGAAAAGATTAATGATGAAAATGTTTAAAGTAATTTAATATATGTCAATGCATATTAAGGAAATATAGATGTTAATAGTATTAACTTATTACCTAGATCTGCAGCCAAATTGAGGCATAGAATAGATAGATAGATAGATAGATAGATAGATAGATAGATAGATAGATAGATAGATAGATAGATACATAGATTGATAGATAGATAGTTTATAGAAAAGTTATCGATAACTTTATTATTCTATAGAAAAGTTATCGATAACTTTATTATTCTATAGAAAAGTTATCGATAACTTTATTATTCTATAGAAAAGTTATCGATAACTTTATTGTTCTATAGAAAAGTTATCGATAACTTTATTATTCTATAGAAAAGTTATCGATAACTTTATTATTCTATAGAAAAGTTATCGATAACTTTATTGTTCTATAGAAAAGTTATCGATAGCTTTAGTTTTCTATAGAAAAGTTATCGATAACTTTAGTTTTCTATAGAAAAGTTATCAATAACTTTAGTTTTCTATCGAAATGTTATCGATAACTTTAGTTTTCTATAAAAAAGTTATCGATAACTTTAGTTTTCTATAGAAAAGTTATCGATATCTTTATATCTCTATAAGTAAGTTATTGATAATTTTATAACTAAGTAAAATTTTTGTAAAAAATCGAATTTATAATTTTTAATTAAAAAATTTAATTTTTTAATGAAAAATAGAATTGTTTGTGAAAATTCAAATTGTTTGTAAAAATCTAATTTTTAGTGAAAAATGTAATTTTTAGTAAAATTTCTAATTTTTATCAAAAATTATAATTTTTAGTGAAAAGTTATCGATAACTTTATTGTTCTATAAGAAAGTTATCGATAGCTTTAGTTTTCTATAGAAAAGTTATCGATAACTTTAGTTTTCTATAGAAAAGTTATCAGTAACTTTAGTTTTCTATCGAAATGTTATCGATAACTTTAGTTTTCTATAGAAAAGTTATCGATAACTTTAGTTTTCTATAGAAAAGTTATCGATAACTTTAGTTTTCTATAGAAAAGTTATCGATAACTTTAGTTTTCTATAGAAAAGTTATCGATATCTTTATATCTCTATAAGTAAGTTATTGATAATTTTATAACTAAGTAAAATTTTTGTAAAAAATCGAATTTATAATTTTTAATTAAAAAATTTAATTTTTAATGAAAAATAGAATTGTTTGTGAAAATTCAAATTGTTTGTAAAAATCTAATTTTTAGTGAAAAATGTAATTTTTAGTAAAATTTCTAATTTTTATCAAAAATTATAATTTTTAGTGAAAAATCTAAATTTTAGTAAAAATCTAATTTTTAGTAAAAATTTTACTAAAAATTAAATTTTTGTAAAAATCTAATTTTAGTGAAAAATTTAATTTTTAGTAAAATTTCTAATTTTTATCAAAAATTATAATTTTAGTGAAAAATCTAAATTTTAGTAAAAATCTAATTTTTAGTAAAAATTTTACTAAAAATAGAATTTTAGTTAGTTAGTTAGTAGTTAGTTAGTTAGTTAGTTAGTTAGTTAGTTAGTTAGTTAGTTAGTTAGTAGTTAGTTAGTTAGTTAGTTAGTTAGTTAGTTAGTTAGTTAGTTAGTTAGTTAGTTAGTTAGTTAGTTAGTTAGTTAGTAGTTAGTTAGTTAGTTAGTTAGTTAGTAGTTAGTTAGTTAGTTAGTTAGTTAGTAGTTAGTAGTTAGTTAGTTAGTTAGTAGTTAGTTAGTTAGTTAGTTAGTTAGTTAGTTAGTTAGTTAGTTAGTTAGTTAGTTAGTTAGTTAGTTAGTTAGTTAGTTAGTTAGTTAGTTAGTTAGTTAGTTAGTTAGTTAGTTAGTTAGTTAGTTAGTTAGTTAGTTAGTTAGTTAGTTAGTTAGTTAGTTAGTTAGTTAGTTAGTTAGTTAGTTAGTTAGTTAGTTAGTTAGTTAGTAGTTAGTTAGTTAGTTAGTTAGTAGTTAGTTAGTTAGTTAGTTAGTTAGTTAGTTAGTTAGTTAGTTAGTTAGTTAGTTAGTTAGTTAGTAGTTAGTTAGTTAGTTAGTTAGTTAGTTAGTTAGTTAGTTAGTTAGTTAGTTAGTTAGTTAGTTAGTTAGTTAGTTAGTTAGTTAGTTAGTTAGTTAGTTAGTTAGTTAGTTAGTTAGTTAGTTAGTTAGTTAGTTAGTAGTTAGTTAGTTAGTTAGTTAGTTAGTTAGTTAGTTAGTTAGTTAGTTAGTTAGTTAGTTAGTTAGTTAGTTAGTTAGTTAGTTAGTTAGTTAGTTAGTTAGTTAGTTAGTTAGTTAGTTAGTTAGTTAGTTAGTTAGTTAGTTAGTTAGTTAGTTAGTTAGTTAGTTAGTAGTTAGTTAGTTAGTTAGTTAGTTAGTTAGTTAGTTAGTTAGTTAGTTAGTTAGTTAGTTAGTTAGTTAGTTAGTTAGTTAGTTAGTTAGTTAGTTAGTTAGTTAGTTAGTTAGTTAGTTAGTTAGTTAGTTAGTTAGTTAGTTAGTTCGTTAGTTAGTTAGTTAGTTAGTTAGTTAGTTAGTTAGTTAGTTGGAATCCTTAATTTGAATCCCCAAGTGTCTGCTTAATTTAATAGTCATAATATAATAATACAAAATCATTTAATACAAATATTTTTGCATTTCAATCTAAAATATTTGTTCTAATTTCTAATTTTATGCGTTTTAAAAAATATTTTTAAAATAAACAAAATTTCGTTATTTTTGCCAACTTTGAAAAAAATGTAAACAAACAGTATGAAAATATATAACAAAATTTTATAAAAGGTATTTTATTAAAAAAATATATAAGTCAACAAACTTTAATAAGGTTAAATTAAATAATTAAAAAAAAATTAAATTATTGGAAAGAAAGACGACATTTTAAAAGATTATGTACTTATTTTTTTTAAGATTGTATTTCAAATTATTTATTTATTTTCAATATTTTTTGTTTTTATTTTTTTAATTAAAAGAATTGCGCACATTTTTTTAAAAATCTAAATTTAATAAAAAATATTATTTTTCTGATAATCTTATGGCTGATGCAATTATTTAAAAAAAAAATTCCTTGGACAAAGAAAATTAATAAATTTTCAAAATTATCGACCGTATAAACCTGAGGCATTCTAAAAGATCAATTTTAATAATAATTTAAATATTTTGACTTAGAGAGATTGTTGGTCAAACTTGCTCGAAAGTCAAAATTTCGAAATTAAGAAAAAAAAGCGATGTAAATTTTCTTAGTTTAAAACCGATATTAATTAATTAACAAATATATCAAATCAAATTCAAGATATTATAATGACATACGAATATGTTTTACCAGATATCTGTTAAAGTAATCTTTTAGAATCGATCGTTTTTATTTACATTTTGATTGAATTATGCAAATAATTATTTTTATTGCATCACAGATCGCGCTCGCCTCTGTGTGGTTAAGATCATCAATTATTATTTGACCTAGGTTTTTAAAATTTCTTGCTTTTTTTCCTTATTTGCTGATAAGAATATAAAATACCATGTGTTTGCATTTTTTTAAATTCTAAAACATTAGAAATATTTGCCGCAATGTCGTTTGTGACAGACTGAAAGTTTTGTGCGATCAGAGAGACTGTCTGCCTTTATATATTAATGAAAATCAGTCGCATTTACATAAAATACAACAAAGTTGTTAAGTGAATGTTTGTAATTGTTTTTCCATTTTATAAAAATTAATAAAATATTAACCAATACATAATAATGCAATAAATGTGTCTGTTATAAACAAATTATTATTGCATTATTAATTGCGCTGTAATTTTCAAAATGCATTTAAGAATTGATAAACATACATATGAATATGGGATTTTCCAAAAATTTTTAAAATATTTTTAATAAATAATAAAGTTTAATGAAATCTGCATTTTATTTAGATCTATAAAAAATCAAGGGCCTTATATCAACAGCTGATCTAGTTGTTATTATACAACTCCATCAGCTGAGCGGTTTTGGGTTTGATTCTTGCCATGGACTCTGTATTCGTTACAATAAATTTATGGTCTATGCTAATTGTATAACAAAATTATTGACAAAGATTTTCAGCCGATTTTTGATATAATTA